TGGAGACGGCCGCGCCATATTCAGAGTACTAACTCGATGTTCTCACAGGTTCAGCTTCAAGTCTGGTAAGCTTTGCTCCGGCAGACAAATTTGTTGTTGCTCTACGCAAAGGCTAAGTATCGCCCCTACCGTGCATCGTGCATTGCGCTTGTGTTATTGTAAATGCCAGTACTGGTAAATTCAAGATTCAAAAGGCCCGGACCTTGGTGTACTTGGTAAAGTATGTCCGATCTGCTCTGAAGTTTGAACCCAGACAATTTGGAACTCAGCTTCGAACACCCTTGAGACTCGTTGAGTATATTGACTGTTATATAACGCATCAACGGTCGCGAGTGCTTCAGCAAGGTCGGTTTCAAAGGTATTAGTGCTACTATCAAGCCTCGGCGTGCTAATACTTGGCATCATGATAGATGTCCTCCTCACATCCTGCGGATCTCCCTCAAGCTGCTGGTGCCTCTGCGCCGAACAGTCGCAATCTCATCGACCGAATACCTGCAGAAGTTCTGCACGACATTTTCAAAGCCTTGCACTTATCAACGGATTGGACCACCCCGAGCGCCCTCCGCGCTTCGCACGTATGCCGAGTGTGGAGGCAAATGATCCATGCATCATCCATCTTCTGGTCGCGACTAGACTTGTTCGTCTCGAACGCCGAATTGGATCGGCACGCTGCGTACTGGCTAGAGCGAGCAGGAAGCAGACCTCTTTCTATAAACATTCGCCTCTATAGGACGAGAGGGGACTTGGAGTTGCACTCAGAATGGGCACTCCAGCTGCGCCTTATTCGCCTTCGCTGTGTCCTGCAACCAACCACGGCTCGCTGGGAATCATTTTCGGCTACAGTTCCGCCGTCTCTGGCCAGCGACTTTTTCTCTGGTCTTCAGGGAATGGCTCCCAGCCTTAAAAAGCTGAACATCGGCGCCGCCCTGCGGAATGACGAAGAGGATAAACATGAGGAAGAAGGAGACGACGACGATTGGGGCGACCTACCACCACCCTTTGACATCCCGCTTGACCGCGATCCGGATCCTGCACCTGGCGCTCCCAATGGGGTGTCCGTTAGAGCGACAAATTGCTTTCCCATTTTTGCTGCCCTCGGCCTATTTATCACCGATCTTCAACTCACCATCGAAAAGGATGCGGATATCGTGGCTGACGACATCCTGGCCATGATCGAGACTTGTCCCAACCTCAAGGAGCTCATCCTTACAGGGATGGAATTCTTTTGCCCGGTGTTTCGGTCGATAGATGCGGATCTAGTGGAGCTTTCCCGGCTCACCTATCTCCAGCTCGAGGATTTCAAAGGAGTAGAGAATATCCTCCTGTTCATCCATGCTCCCTCGGTCCAGTGCTTTTATCTCAAATATGTTGACTGGACCGACGGCCTATCGGAGGCTTTGTCCCGGCTATTTCGCACCTTCCATTCTATTGTGGAGGTTGAAGTTTGGCCGGATTTGTACACAAGCCCAGACGAGCAGAACTATACTCCTCTATTCCAAGGATTCCCAATCACCATGGACACGGTCAAGCGCTTCTTCGTCGATGGTGGCCCTACTTCCTCCCCTTTCCTTCAACAGCTATCCATGCCTAATGCTGAACGCCTCGATTTGGCGCGTGCACCCTTTGACGTCGTTCGCCTTGTCGCATCATCCACCACTCATCTTGAGCATGCTACTTTCACCAAAATTACCGCCTGCCCTCCGGGACCTTTTCCGACTATCTCTCTGCCTGACCTTACATCATTTTGCGTTGAGCACTCTCCCGACCTCCTCGAGCACATTCGGGCTCCACGCCTAGAATCGATCGAAGTGCGCGGCGACTATGATGGCGATATGTGCATGTTGACTTCGTTGCACGACATGGTAGAAAGATCAGCGCCATCAGCTCTCCTCTCTCTCAGTTTGAGTCACGTCACGGTCGCCGACGAAAACATCATCGCGTGTTTAAAGCGACTCCCTACCCTCGAAACCCTCATAATTAGGAGGTGCTCCCTTTCCGATCGCTTGCTTCGGGCGTTATGTGCACCCACTGTAGCAGAAGAAGCAGAATGGCTGCTTCCACGGTTGACGAAAATGGAGCTTGTGGAAAACCCAAATATGACACCTGCCGCGGTGATCAGTCTAATCAAATCTCGAAATGGTCCATCCTCTCACGATGGCACCTTGACGCCGCCCCGCGTTAAAGGTCAAGTGGCCTTCCCCAAGTCCATGAAACTGAGGAAGAGAGAAGCTCATGCACTCTATGTGAGTTATATGGGTTTACTGACTTCTGCTCTAAATACTCATCCCATCTTGCCGTAGTCTTCGGGCGATTTCAGTCGTTGAAGACAGCATGCGGTTTAATCAGTCTATCAATGATACTTTACAAGACTCCCACAATCAAGGCTAGGGTGCCTGCAACGATGAAATCAATGCGCTTCAAATTTGTGACTACGTTCACTCGCTTTTTATTGAGCATATGTTACAATGTCTCCGACTGAAGTGCTGAATGCATCCACCCCATGCACTCGTGCAACTGGGTATTTTCCTATGGCCCAAAAAGACTGAGCCAACCGGTCCCTTTGACATTCCGTTCACCTGCGGCGGCTAGTGCGCTGTGCTGAGTTGGGTGCCAGGCAAGACTTGTTGGCGTCCCTGGAACTTGAACGCGGTGTATGTGTTGGCCAGTTTCTGTGGCAGTCTATAAAATCCAAGTCAGTCTCAGAGGTGATAAGGGAGGGGAGCTAGGAGTGACCCACAAGGTCGATGTAGTTGTCGCAACCGCTAGCCAGATACTCGCCGTCGTAGGAAAATGCGACGGATAGGACAGTGGACCTGACGCGTCAGAGCTGTAATGAGATTTTGCGAACATCAGCGCAACTGAGACTCGAGGCGTACTCTGCGGTGGTGATAGTTCGAATACAAATCCACTCGGAGACGTCGTATAAATTGACTATTGCGTCTGCGCCTCCTGTTGCAAGATACCTATGGCACATGGAGCAGTAAGTAGTCTGATGAATATGATAGCATTCAGAGGCCATCCCTCTCACTCACTTTCCTCGAGGGTCGAAGTCCAACGTATAACACGACCGAACATGGCACCCAGTCTTTTGGTAGACGTTGAGGGTATTTACGTCAAACATCGTCACCATTCCGTCCCCTCCGGCCGAGAAGACGATGTCTCCAGAGTGATTAAACACTGCGTGGTGGGTCTTTACGTGGATTTGACTTTAGCGCGATATAACCATGATTCAAGCAAGAGGGTTGGCGCACGGATCCGAGTTTCTTTCTTGAGCCTTGAGCCCATTCCGACTTGGCTTTCGATTCCTTGTCTGGTACGCGCTGCCGCAGATGAAAAAATGTGATTCCATCGTTCTTTTCGTCGTTCTCCGGCCTTTCCAGCGCCAAGAGCATTTGACCATCGGGCGAATATTCTAATTTCGCTATATCCCCACTAACAGATAGAGTCTGTGTTGGATTCTTTTCTGAGAAATAAAAGCAAAGCCGTCAGAATTGATTTACTGGGGCACTTGGAAGATAACGAAATGAAGACATGGAAGTTGCCTACGTCGTACGTCAAAGAAGCACATTTTCTTATCCTGTCGCCCCGACGCACATAGGAGATCAGGATGTGTAGGGTTCCACGCAACAGCATTGACCGGGCTAGTAAAGCCGCCAGAGAGCGCCGTAGTGCTGCGCTCATCAAGCTAATCGTTTGCCTCCATGTCAATCCCAGACGCAACGCCAGATAGGAGCCCAGAAATCCCAGTTGGCCTCACATTCTTTTCGGGCGACCACAGCCGAACATGCCTTTCTAGACCACAAGTAGCCAGCCTTCGCGCGTCACAGCTCCAAGCAACATTCTGTACAGCAGGGGTAACGCTCTTTGTGCGGTATGCAGGGAAGTTTGGTGCCTAAGAACGGGCCACGAGAGGTGGATCAGACGCGTCCAGCTTTAGGGGAGTTCAAATTGTCGTGGTCGTACAACTAATCCTCGCGCGCTCAATGTTGTATATGCTGGAGGTGTCTGAGACCGTGGAATGTTATCCTTTTGACCGCTCATGGTTGCGGGATGACAAGTTGAAGTTGCGGTCCTTTTGAGTCCGGAGCTCTCTCACCGCTATCAACTATATATGCGTATGCGTCGCAAAAGTATTGGTATCGCAAGTTCCACTCCCACGGTCCTGCAGGTTCCATAGCCAAAATTGCGCTGCCTGCGTCTTTTGCTCGACACACTGGTAAACTTGGTACAGTTCTACTGGTCTTGGCATTCTGATCCCCGCATTCGCTAGTATCCATTTAGCTGCGCATCCAGGCTAATACCCCTCTTGAAAATTCGCTCTCTTGTGGTCTTACACAATCACGAATCAACGTATACTTGCCATGTCGATTCGTTTACCGACAGGTGAAAGTGACGAACGACCCTGTGACCGCTCTTGCAAAGCCCAGTTGGCCGGAAGGTCCATGTACACTTGGACCACCCTCAACGGCTCTTTATAACCTTCCCTGCGGCGATTCATCTCAAAGACACGCCTTCGTCGCCAACCCCAACTGCCCGTGTGGCGCAACGGATAACGCGCAAGACTTCTATCGCCATCCCTTTGCTGATCAAACCTTGAGGCTGTGAGCTTGAGGCCCACTTCGGGTTGGGTGCCCTTTTGTTCTCCATCCCCTGGTTCAAGCGCTCGGGGTGCATTGTTTAGCTCTAAATTGGTGGCGCGAGCCCACCCCAAGGATGCGGGTCTAAGGTCAGGAAAGTAACATTTGACCTGGCTTTCTTTATCGTTCCGGACCTTCGCCATTCAGTATACCATGCACCAGATGAGCAGAGCCAGTTCTCCGATAATACCTGATGATACCCACCCATCCACCTTCGCTCCCAGCTCGAGTGCGAGAGATTCCAGAGAAAGTGAAGGTCATGATGTGCTTACCTCATCAACCTTCTGATCGTACTCAACACCATCGTCCGCGTTACCCCAGTCCGCAAATGCTCATAAGAGCTAAATGCCGACGGGCTAGTGCGCCTGTGTGGCGCAATGGTTAGCGCGCAAGACTTCTACGGTGCTTGTGTTCCGGGTGATATCTTGAGGCTGCGGGTTCGAGTCCCGCCACGGGTTCTTTTTCCTCAGGTCCGGTTTGGTCGGGGTGTGCTCAAAACGAACAGTACTTGCTTGCAACCCTTTGTTCCGCTCTCGAACATATTGCTCCTGATGCCCATGATCAAATTACGTCCCTTTTTGAGGAAACCCAGGAGAAACCGAGACGCTTCCTGAAATCGATGAGCTCTCCGAACCCAAAATAATAGTCTACGATACACTTCTTTCGGCTAAATGAGAGGGGTCCATCGCCCGTCAGAGAATTACCAGTCGTTCGGACGACGATCGGCAAAAGGTCGCGAAGGACTCGGCCAAAAGGCGGGCAACGAACGACAAAGGAGGTTTTGTGAATATGAAGGGTGGAGAAGAGAAAAAGAAAAAAGACAAATACAAAAATTTAAACAATGAACGAGTCAATGTCAAGAAAATATAAGAACAAGCAAGGGATTGAAAAAAAAAAGTTACAAGTCATGGACAATAGAAGGATAAGCAATTATAGGCAATACACCTTAAACCGCGTCCCCGGGCGGGGGCGTGGGAGAACGAGGCCTTGAAAATTGTCTGCGCCTGGCGAGAATGGAAGAATCAGGGGAGTTTAGGTGTTCAGGGGGAACCGAGCTGGGGACAGGTGAAAGCGGCGTGGCAGGTGACTCGTGTGCAGAGCCCTCCGTCAAGCCCACGGCACGTTGCAAGGCCGCGAGACGGGGTCCGGGCGCACGAGCCCCTCCTCTCGGCAATCGAGGCGACTGGACTGTCCCAAGTCTACGGAACGAGGGCGGGGAGCCACGGAAGGCGTGGAAGGCCTCGTTCATCGATTCTGTCTCGGCCGCCATGGACAGGTGCGAGCTGTCGCGCAAGTCTGGGCCCGCGGCGTCCCTCGCCGGGTCGAGGCCTATGCTCGGGCGCGCCCAGTCTGGCGGCGGCGGCGCGAGGGGGGTAGTGGAGAGTGATGAGCTGGGGCCATCTTCGGCCGGAGTACCAAAGGTCTCGTTGAACGCGGACCGGCCGTTTGTTCGCCGGCGAGTGGTGAATTCAGTGAAATCGATCGACCTAGGCCGGGCGGCCGTGCGCCTTGCCGTGTGTTGGCGATTAAGGCTCAAGCTGGTAACTCGGGTCGTAGCTGACGGCGATCGAGCGGGGGCCAGGATACGCTCGGTGAGCTGCGACATGGCCTCTGCGGGATAGGAAGTCTCTGGATACCACCGCGGGACCCAAGGCTCGAGCGAGAAAGGTCTTGCGACCGGGGGCGGAGGTGGAGCAAGGAATGCATCGTACAAGCCAGCCGTCAATGCACTCTCTGCGGCGCTGTCACCCTCGTCTGGGGAATCAAGATAGTCAAATTCGTCCCACACGGGCTCGTAGGCGGGACGGGGTCGTAGCTCGCTACGGAAACACAGCGTCCGCAACGCGGCACTGGTCCTATCTGACATGGTACGAGTATTTCGGACGGTGCGATTATTTCGATCCGCTAGCTCCTAGGGGCGGGGAGAAGTTAGCTACGAGCGCATGTGAGGTCGCGGCGGCGGCTTGCCTTGACAAGGATCTCCACCAGTGATTTTGTAAAAAGGTCGTTCTCGTCGAGGTCTCGCACAAATGACTCGTAGGACATGGTGCACTCGACGGATCCACCCTCCTCTTTGCCAAGGTTCGTACTCTCGATGACGCCGCACCTATGGGGGGAAAGAGTTGAGCGCGACACCGGGTGAGAGCGAAAAAAGGGGAGCACGTACACCAGGCTTTTGATCTTTTGCTTGAGCACTTCGTCATGATACTCTGGAGTCCTAATTAGCAGCAGCTAGCGGTGAGCGAGGCTGCAGGTGGGCGAGCGAGAGAAAGAAAAAAATTAGACGGACCATTTACCCATGGTCAAAGAGAAGAGTGGGGGCGGGTCGACGCACGCAGCTGCGGTGGGATGTGCGAAGGAGCGACGGACGGCGTGCGGGAGGATCTTTGCACAAAACCTGAGGGCAAAGAAGCGCAAATAAAAGCCTCGAAGAGCAGGACGATCAAGGGTGCGGTAAACTCCGCGTTTCCTCCGCGCGAAGCCAGGAAGCCTTTTTTGCACTTATAAATATCAAAAAGGGCGCTGAATTTGTTGACGTCAAGCCGATTTTTCTCAGATGCGAGCCCAGATCTTGCTCTTTTTTCGCACCCAAACTACAAGTATACGCTGCCGTGCACCACCTCCTGCCCGAAGTATCCTCGCGCAATCCGCAAGGTTCGATTTGTGGCACTCTGCGGCGGATATATTATGTTCGCTCGCAGCGTGTACATGGCTACAGGACAATTGGATATCTCCTCGGATTTTGCCCTTTTCGTCATGGTCTTCAAGGGCAGTATCTTCAATTGGAAGCGTAAGTAAGCGCGAGCTATCGCCGACAACGGGAGAACAAGAGAGCACGAACGTGATGGTGAACGCTTTGGCTCCTGCACCGCAAGCTCTGACAGGAGAGTCATTCCCGCATCCTGATAAATCTGATACGATCGACGTCGTATTAGCAACTGAAAGTCACAAGACTCTCCGGCCTCCGCTATAACTCACCTCCGATGGGGTACGCTTGGCTGCCTTTATACGACGAGGACAATGTCGTGAGCGGACTTCAGGTAGCCACAAGCGACAGGGGCACTTACATGGGCAGTTTGCAGCCCTGCAAGTCACAGATTGGCATCCACCGTCATTCGCCACGCTAATCGACTGGGCCTAAATGAAGACGTGTCAGATAGTCATCCTGAGTATCTTCTCTGAGCTGTGTCCACTTACAATCGTGTATCCTTGCTATAGGGTTCACGGGTGGCGTTTAATGTTAGACTACCCAGTCAAGTTTTTCATGGGGAACTTACGATGTTGGAGATATCATAACTATTTGAAAGTCAGTCAGATCTCGCTCGCCTCCGCGGACGATACAGATTGAAATTCACTTACGCCTGAGGGGTATAGAAATCGCCCGTATCCAAATTGAACTAGGATTTGATATGTTATTAGGGGACTACTCCTCATATGCACATCCAATGTGCAGACGCACCTCTGTCATGGAACAAGACTACCCAAATCCCGCAACGTTAGCTCAGTAGCACGCGACGTATCTGATTACAACTGAGCAACTCACGCCGTAGCAGCTGTTGCCGCATCCCCCGACATTGTGGCAAATGCGACCATTCCATCCGTCTGGCATGGTGAGAGTCCTGGTCTGTCCTGCGCCAACGGTTCCAGGTTGAGCGCCGGTGTACGGGGTGCGTCCCCAGTTGTGCCTGAGGAGCGGGTCAAGTGCGGTTGAGCAAAGGAGAGCAAAGGGCGCGCCGGTCCCGATTAATGGCAGGTGACCCGTTGCGGCATAAAGAGACGATCGCGACTTACACCAATAGGGGAACTCCACTAGATGGAGATAGTTAGGTCGCACCCAGAAAACAGTCAGCTCGGGTCCTTTATTCTTTTGGGATGAAAGGGAGACGGGTAGTGTCAGACGTTACTCACCTTCCGCATCTGTTCACGAGATTGAAAGTGTGGGCGGCGGAGGCCGATCCGACGAAGAGGAGCGCGCTGACGGCGAGTTTTTGGAGGGAGAACATGGTTTGTTGGTGAGGTGCAGGAGAAGGTGTGTCTAGGGGGACTTTTATAGCTCAAGGACGAATGATCGACAGTGCCGCAGTAGGGATAATCCTTGCTGATCCTTGCTCATATATAGCCCCCATGTGCATATGGACCGGGCATTGAAACCGTCGCATAGCGTTGCTCATCATAAATCTGCAGTGGTCGACGTGGCCGATCATGATGCCCGCAGCAGAGCGAACTTCTCGGTGTCAAAAAACAAGGCGAAGCAGGTGATGGAGCTGAATTAGATCACGTCGGGTTTGAGCACAAGGCCGAATAGAACCACCAGAAGTACTCCTTTAGCGCATCTTCGGTGAGCAATCGTGGGCCGTCGACGTCGGTAATGCATAGTACTCGGGACAGGGTACGCCTACGTAGCGTGCAATAGGCTGAGTTTGTGTGGGTCGAAGTCGAAGGCTCGAAGCCGAGAGAGAAATATTCGCTTTTTTTTTATTGCCGTTATCTCGATTGCACAAGCGATGCGCTCTTGAGTCTTCGTACGCTGGCGGCGAGTTGTTCAGTAGGAACGTTTGGCTCCCAGGACGAGGGCAGAAGGCACACGATCACGTTCGCTCTGAGGTTGGTGGCAGATGCGCACTGGATCATGATGCGCAGCTAGGCCCTGGATGTCCTAGACTTCTCCCGGGTGTTCTCATGGGCGTCCACGACGCCTCGGCCTCAATTTTTGTTAGCACACAACCCGAGCAGACCACCAGCACTTAGTACCCACCCTCAGCTCAGTGCTCATTGGCTCTAGCGTCCAGAGCCGCGTGCGAGAAAATAAAATCATTCACACATCCCCGGCAAGAAGTAGAAAAAAAGCTTATATAAAAGAAGTAGCCGAAAAATATATGGTAAATTCAATAAGCCTCCCCTACTGATTTGTCTCCTGCATCGGTGCTGCTCTCAGCCGCATCGGCCGGCGTTGCATTATGATTCGTCGAAACATTCGCACCACCAATACTGGTACCTGGCCCGGCTCCCAGGCCAGGAGTGCTCGCTGCGCTGGTTGGACCCATGCCCACTGCAGCGGCGGCAGCGGCAGCTGCTGCCGTCCCGCCTGTTCCTCCTCTGGCTGTGAGCAAGCCCTGGAAAAAGTCTTGTAGTACTCGAGTGCTCGCAGCAGACCCGCGTGTCCCGCCTCCAGGAGACGTGGCGCCTAGTGCTGCCGCCGGACTTGCTCGCCCCGTGGGTGGTGTTGCGGTAGAGCTTGCCAGTGACGGCGGGATGGGTGGGTTGAGTAGTGGATTGGTGTTCGTGCGAGGTAGCTCCTAATTCGGGCGAATAAAAAGAGAGATCAAATAGGTTGGGCTCGAAGAATAAGATATAATCGGAACAGAGAATACACGCACTCTGCGCACTCCGCCGGCTGCAGCCCTCGCAAGCCGCGCCGCAACGTCCTCTCCATCAAGTTCCGTCATCACTTTCACCA